CACCCTTGCGCAGACCATAACATTGTTTGAGATTGCCTCCTCTCACCACACATTCTCCAGTATAATGCAAGGACTACTATCCTTCACAATCAGCTTCTCGCCAAGACTGAAAATCATAATGCATATGCATCAAATAGCCCACATCCTAGAGCAGCCTCTGTCATGTCAAAAATGTTCCATGGATAAATTCAATCACTTGTAACCTTAAGGCGGCTACATTCTTTTCTTTTTCGAATTATACGTCTCAGAAAGTAAAAAGATGTTCACTTTTTTCAGAGAACCACAACTCCCCAGAAATTAAAACGAAATGAAGGAAAAAAAACTAAGGCATAGAAATAAAGAACTTCTAAAACATTCTTAATGAAAGGAACAACCAGCAAGATAACAGTTTGACTTACATCAATAGTATGATCCAGAACCACCACCGCCCATGTAACTGCTACCACCCATGCTACGACTAGAGTATACTGATGAATATGAGCTACCACCAACCTGCCATAATAGCAAAGAACATAAACACAAACATCCAGTGCAGAAAAATGTTTCACAAGTCAACCAGGTCACAAGCATACATCACTTCCACGGGGCATGTAGTCACTGCCATAGCTCGAGTACATTCCATCAACATCACCGCCTCCAAATGAACCTGAAGGCCATATAAATTGGAAAGACATCATTTAACGACAGGATTAAAGCCTAAACATTCGTATTCACGTCTATAAAACCTAACAGAAACAAACCTCCTCCATAACCCATGCCCTGACGGCTGCCATAAAGCCCATGTGTATCCTGACTGGACATGGAACTTCTGCTGCTTCCATATCCTAGACTAGATCTTCCAAGCCTGCCAACCAAATGGAATAAAAGTAAGCTACATTAGTAAGATATCTCTCCCATGGAAAAGAATAATATGGATGCCTCCATGTCCAATGCATCAAAACAAACCTATCCCCATACGCATCCCCATATTGAGGAGCACTACCATCAAGTTCATAGTCCAAACGAGCTCTTGAATGGCGAACACCAGGGTCAGCATACCGAGGGGGAACATCATCCTAACATATTACAAGCATATCATATATCAATAGAGGATATGTCAAGTATGAGACATGAACATAATAAGATATAAAATATTTTATAGTACAAAGAAAACCAACCATGGCAGGATATGGACGTTTTGAGCCAGAAATAGAATCATAGTCACGGCCACGTCCTTCCCGGTAACTTAGAGGCCTTTCAAATCTTTGTCCGTAACCATCATCTATATAAGGTCTCCTTCCCGCTGAACGAGAAGACACTCTTGGCAGATCAGGGTAACTAGAGCCACGAGATGAATACTCATCTCTATAGGATGAGCGCCTATCAGGAACTACCCTGGAACCATAATCAACAGCTGCTCTGCTCCTTGGAGGAGGTAGCTCATCATGTCTGCTATATTCCCTTTTCAAGCTACTTTTTGGGTATGAAGGAACTGTCAAGAACGGGAATTGCATTAAAAAGTATGGCAAGCAAACTGATGTTAGAACATCCATTTAGACAATTCAGAATTTCTGCATACCAGGTGCTCCCCTTTCATATTGCCTAGGATGTGGTAAAGGCCTGCTTCTTGCTGGCATAGCCATAACAGGCGTCTATCCCTCAATCCAATAGGTCTCTTTACACTAGAAGGCGGAACACGAATCCCAATT